CACCCCTCCCCCCTCCCCCCAACCCCGCCAAAAAGTGTTAGGGATTTTTTATGAAATTAACCCTTAATATTTACTTCATAAATCCATGACAAATTCTTGAAACTTATCCTTTTTCATCAAGCGAGTCTACAAGCTAAGTTTGCGATGTTTTTACCAAAGAACACTGCCACTACATCCAAAATACAAGAGCTGTTTCTATGATTTGAAAATTGAACTCAAGCAGCTGTATTTATTTTTTTAAACCGCGATTTACAAATTCATGCTTTGGTAGGAATTTAACCTGGGTTGATATCATACAACGTCAAATGATTTTACCACTACATAAAAAGTTTGAAACTATGGTGAAGGTTGAGAACTATAGTTTTGTACTTTAACAGTTTCCAACACAAAATTGATCAAAGTAAGGATAAGTTACCAATTAAAATACTTTTTAAAAAACTTATTTTTTGTTAAATAATTTAATTACAGTAAGTTTCATTACAGATTATATAAAAAGAACACAATCAATAGGTCATGATGTACATAGTCAAAAGGTCGAGGTAAATCAATATTATATTCGGTTGGATGAGACGTTATATAAATTTTGGTTATGAAATTAAAAGAAGGATTATTAATAGTACTAAGTTGTTAGAGATAATAATCTAACAATTTAATCTGTAGAAGAGAAGTTATTCAAGTGACAGAGAAAATCAGGGGAAAAATCCAAATAGGAGCTCACAATGGGTGGATAATTATATAGAGTGGTGTTAGGGCCCCCCCCCCTACCACACCACCAACCACACCCCCCTCTCCCATCGTTACAGTAAACCGGGCCTCATATGGGATTTTAAAAATTTTAAAATCCCATGTGAGGCCCGGTTTACTGTAACGATGAGAGAGAGGGTGTGGTTAGTGGTGTGTTAGGAGGTGTGCCACTAACATTATTTAATTATATAAGCTCACTCGGCCCCCACCAACATGTGGTACAATGGGTGGAGAATTATATAAGCTCCCTTGGCCCCACCAACACGTGGTGCCATCACTGGCCTCCAAAACCAACCACTGGTTTCTCAGCTCACACAAAGACAACAGTAATTAAGGCACTGTTTGGCAACCAAACACTACCACATATTTGCTCTAACGCAACGGTTCAAAACTGTTGCGCTAGCCATTGAACCGTCGCCCTTGAGCAAGTGCGACGGTTCTCAAACCGTCTCATATGCTGCCGTTGCCCTACCTCTATTGTAACGGTTTTGAACTCTATTACGACGTTTTTTTGAACCGTTGCCCCTGCATCTAACGCAACAGTTTTAAAAGGCAAGCGGTTTTTAAGCTATTGTAACGGTTTTGATTGAGCTATTGCGACGGTTTTTAAGCTATTGTAGCGGTTTTTTCATAGTTATTACAACAGTTTTAAAAGACCTAACGCAACGGTTTTAAAAGGCAAGTGTGTTTTAAGCCATTGCAACGGTTTTTATTGAGCTATTGCGACGGTTTTTAAGCTAGTGCAGCGGTTTTTTATAGCTATTACAATAGTTTTAAAAGACCTAACGCAACGGTTTGGATTGAGCTATCGCAACAGTTTTGATCGAGCTATTGCAGCGTTTTTGATTGAGCTATTGCAACGGCTCCGATTGAGTTGTTCTTGGTTCCCTACGTCAAAATCATATAGTATTCAATTACCTGGACAATCTTTTTAAGAACATGGCCAAGTCAAATTTTAATACACAATATCAAAGTGAAAATGTTTAGCATAATCCACCATAATGATAAGTGCCAATATACATCGGTATAGTATAAAAACTACAAAGTATTAAATCCACACTACCAACATTTCAACTCAGAAAATATCGTACCGAACTAATATTCAAACAACATCAACATTTGATTACAAAACATGAAACTTCTCGGTCAAAGACTTTATATTCTCTATTTGTTTCCAAAAACTTAGGAGACCATACGCAGCTATATGAAATCAGAGATCTTCAAACACATACGCGGCTACATGAATCAGAGAGAAACATCATGCAATTTAGGGAAGTAATTGATTTATTAATATAAGTGTAAACTTACATAACAAAATCAGAGAATTTCATCCTGAAACTATACATCCTGAAACCATAAACAAAGCATTGCATACAGGATATCTATTTCACAATTTCTTTAAATATAACTCTTTTCTTCGTATCCCTAAAAAAACTTTCATCTAAAAAAGATTACTTTCTCAATGTTTTCTTGAACAGAAAAACAAGATATCAGGAAACGTCAACAAATTGAGTAAATCTTTCTGACCTTTGTTAAGATTTTTTTTACCCCTTTGACCAAATTAAACCATTTGGAGGGTTAAGGAGAGACTAAACTCCCTTAACCCTTCTCTTAAACCCTTGACAACTGAGGCCTAAAAGAACCATCCTCCCATAATCAAATGATTAAGATTTAGAGACAAACCTCAGTTTGGCATTCTTTGTCTGGCACCTCTTGCAAAGCCAAGTTTTCTTTAGTTCATCCTATTCAATTTGGCATTCTTTCAAAAGTTTAGTTTTGACCGCATGAGATACGATATGTATTTTTCAAAACTTAGAATTACAAAGAGTATGCCTTGTTTAGGACTTACCATGAAGACCGTGCTTTTTTGGGTGTTCATACTTTATTTAATTATTTGTGTTCTAAATTAGAAAGCTTTGATATCTTTCATATTTGTGTAACTTTGTGGTGACAAATTTTGTTCTATTATCCATATTAGTGCTTCACAGATCATAACAATTATAAAATGATATCATCTTTTCTTTTGCTATAAATGAGAAAGTACATGAGGGGTGATATAGAGCAGATAGACAAAGTCAAAAATGGAATCTAAGAAGCAATAGTATTTCAACGTATTCCCCCTTGTCATATAAGCTGCAGTACTGAACCTTGCAGGTCAATAAGAAAGCCCACACATCCCTGCAATTAAATACAATAACATTACCAGTGTTTCTCAGAAAGAGGACATACAAGAATAAGAGTTAACAGCTGATAAATATACAAGTATAACCAAATAAAACCTGTATGACCAATCCAAGATAGGATTCACCCTCATGAAAGGGGGCCATCCTAGCGAGCTAGGAGAGAACTGCTCTTGGCCAACCTACAAGATCAATGTAATATGTTTAATACTCAACAACCTTATATTCAAAGTACTAAGCACAAGCTTTCTAACAAAGGAAATAATTCAACAAATTATATACCGCATTAGGGTCGCCAATTCGTGTACCAAGAAAAATAGCTTTGATAGGTTTTTCCTTCATTAGAGTCTCTAACCCAGACTTGAAATCAAGGCTAATAATTTCCAATTGCAAGTCATAACTGCCAAAAGTATCAGCAGTTCATTGTTAAAAGTAATAATCTCGCATTTTGTGAAATATAAGAAAATTAATATAGCATTCTTACGTAGAGCCTGTTTCATAAGTGAATGAATTGATTTCAGGAAATGCACAGGGAGTTTCAAAGTAGATAGTCCTTATTCTACACTCTGGAATAGAATCCAACTGATTTCCATTGGATTGCTTCGTTTTCTCTTTTTGCAAATAATATTCAGCTCACAGTAAATGCAGCAAGACCTGCAGAACCAATTGCATCTTAATTAATTAGAATCAAATTTACAAATTTCAATAATGCCAATCTGAACTTCACATAAACAAACAAACATGAAGAAACTATTACAGTGGAATCCTTCCCCCATTAAAGCTGAAGGGCAACTTCCTCAACCTGTGGATGAACAACATAAATCAAATTGAACCCATTTTCGGGGGAAAAAGAAACCTGGGGGGTGGGGGGGGGGGGGGCTCTTATATACCCACATCAAATTTACACTAAGTAGGAGATTTGGGGCTCAAAAACAAAACGACTGCTAGGGTTTCCAGGCCCCGCATCAACATTCAAAAGCTAAGTAGGAGCACAGTCGAGCTCGGAATCGAACAATTCAATGCCAAAAAAGTGAAGTAAGAGATTAGAAACACAAAAGGCTACCTGAAATCAAATTCTATCCTCGATCTTCACTAGGAAAGATCTAACTACCTGATTTGATCAGAGATCGTGAGAAAAGATGTGTCGAGAAAACCCTAGAAAGCTCCCTACCATTGTGATTCAGTGCTCACCCTCGGTGGAAAAAGCAACGAGAGTAGCTTGACGACGAAGATAATATCAGAGAGGAGATCGGAGATGAGATCCAAGATGAAACGGCGACGAGTTCAGTGATGAGTTCGACGACGCCACGGCGATTTTAGGGAGCGGAAATTTTTGGCTTAGGGATTTCCGTGAGGATTTGAGAGAGAGAGAGAGAGATATTTCGTTTAAACGGTCAGGGGCACGGGCTTTAAAAACAAGCCCAGGAACAATTATAAAGCCCAGGAATAATTATTAGACCTATGGCAACGTTTTTTTATAAATTGTTGTATTAGATATTACAAATCGTTACGATAGATATCTAACGCAACAGTTAAAACCGTTGCAACTTAACCGTTGCAATAGATCAATTATGTGGTAGTGAAAAAAAGTGTCTTATCTAAGAGCTTGTGTCTTATTGACTTGGTCAATAAGCTAGTAGAGCTGTTTGGTGACCAAAAATAGGAGGAGATTATTTTAGAGATTGTGTCTTTTGCAAGTAGCTTTTGAAAAGCTACATCAAGTAGCGTTTGTCTTTGGGAAGGAGCTGTCAATTTTTGTCTTCCGTTTTTGCCCCTAATAATTCTAATTTTATATCAATAATATTGCGTGTCTTTTTTAGTCATTTAACAAACTTAAGCTAGTTGTACAGCTACTTTTGCCAAACAACTCTAGTCAATTAGCTAGCTACACAGCTAACAGCTTTCAGCTACAATTTTACAGCTTTCAGCTAGCTTAATAGCTTTCAGCTATAATCTCGCAGCTTTCAGCTAGTTTTGCCAAACAGAGCCTAAGGCTGATTGGTTTCATTAAACTGAACGACATTCTAATTCAATTGATGTTTTGCTCGTCTCTTTTATGTGCATGCAGGAATTTCCTTTTATGGAAAAACAAGCATCTCCCTGGGGGTGAAAGAGTAAAAAACTTTACCTAGAAGATGTACATGCTTATATCAAACTTAAGGATAATGAGTGTGGCACGATGCAGTTTATACTACGAGGGTTTATGTGTAATTAACCCTAATTTATATAAGTTCTCTCTTACTCTCTCACATCTTCATCTCCTCTTCTCCAAGTTATAATAGAGACGTTACGTTATATAACCGCACCACCAACACAGCAGGGATACTTTTTGTTGATTCAAAACTTTATGGTGTTTCTCTCTAATAAAAAATAATTTACGGCATTTTCTCATAAAATCACGATAGTTCATGATAGTTTTGTGAAATTTATCCATTCCTAGTTACTTTTGGTTGGCAATTTCTTTATTTTCTCATAAAATTTTGTTTTATCTACAAAATTCTCCAAATATTAAACAATTATATTAAAAACTTAGTGGGGCTATCAAGAAGTTTGAGGGACATTTTATATCTCAAAAGCAATGCTAGAGGTATATAGACAATTTTTTGCAGAGCATATATTTGTTTCCTTTCTTTTCTTTTCTCTTTTCATTTTCTAGAAGATTCTAGACTATGAGTTGAATATAAAATTAGAGCTCACTACTTAATATAAGTAACTATCAAAATTTATATTGTAAAAGATAAAAATATAAAATGATAATGTTCTTTTAAAAACTTTATTAGATGTAAATGGATATAAATACAAGAATTGGAATTTCAATATGTTATAATCTATATATTATATTGACACTTGGGTTAAAAATAATTAAATATAATATTTTGATGAAAAATTTATGAAAGAATAACTCTTCTTATTAACATTAACTAAAATGTTTTTAAGACGGTGTTTTGAAAATAATCTATATATTGTATGTCTAACAAGGACAACCAGCCAACTTGGTCACAAGTTGGACGCATCAAAAGATGACTTCTACTTGATTTCCTCCAATTTGGAGTCCTTTTATCAATGGCAGAGTGAAGAATTTTGGCAAGGAGATTCTAAATTAACCAAATGAGAGGGAAAAAGTAAAAATATGAACTAGTATGAGATTTGGTTAAGGGCTAGTACTGGAGATGATTTGGATGAGGCCAAAAGAATCCATGGGAATGGGTTCTAGCTAATTCGGTCATTGTGGGCTAGGGCAAGTGAGTGGAGCTCACGAGAAATCTAAATGGCTTGCGATCTATTCGCAACTCGCTAGAGAAATGGAGGAGTTTTGATAAAGTTGGAGGAATTTTACATTTTATCATGTCTGATTTGTATTAATACCATATATATACCCCTAGCCTACCACCCCCTCCCCCCCAAACAGCAACCTCAAGATTTTTTTTTTTAATTTTGGGTGTTTTTGTATATATATACTCTTGAAATCATGCATATTTGCGAAACTACCCTTAAAATCTCAGTATGTGAAAAAATATTTCTAAATTACAATATTATTTAGAATACCCAAATCAATAAATCATTAACTTTACTAGGTAATTTATAACTATAATGTAAAAATATCAATAAAATATTCAAATATTTTCTCACTATGTCCAACAAAGTGAATGATTTGTTGATGTGAGGCTTGTTATAAATTAGAGTAATTTTATAAATATTAAGACTTATGAAATACGTAAAATATAAGGCGGTATATATTTAATAAAACAAATCCTATTTGTAAGGGGGAGCCGGGGTCCTTTTAAGGGGTTGTTTGTTTGTCTTAAAAAAGAGGGAAATCAAAGAAAAGGAAACCCATTTCTAAGAAAAATATGTTTTGGGATTGTTTGGTTGGCTAAAAAAAGAAGGAAATCAAAGAAATGGAGATGAGATGAGATGAGTTGTCATCTTATTATAGGATGATGTGAGTGATTTTTTAAGAAAACTTGTTTTGATGTTGTTTGGTTGGCGGAAAAAAATAAGAAAATGAATTATAAGAAACCTATTTCTTATATTAGGTTGTTTTCTTTTGTTTGGTTATTTCTTAAAAATAAGAAAATAGATGAGATAAGATGAGTTGTCATTATATTATTGGATGATGTGACCCACACTTAAGGAAATTGTTTTTCTAGCTTTTTGGGAGGAAAACAAAGAAATAAAATGTTAATTAGATGAGATGAGTTGTCACAATCTTATTGGATGATGTGAGTGATTTTTAAATATGAGATGAGATGAGTTGTGTGATGTTGTGGATGAAAATAATATTTTATTAAATGTGGTGGATGTGATGGATGAAAATAATATTTTATTAGATGTGATGGATGAGTTGTTGGATAAAAATAATATTTTATTAGATGTTGTGGGTGAGTTTTAGGGATGGAAATAATATTTTATTAGATGTTGTGGGTGAGTTTTAGGGATGGAAATGTGTGAAATTGTACTTTTTAAGATTTTTTGGTTTTTATTTCTATTTTTTAGTTTTTTAGGAAATAACCAAACAGGCCCTAGCTACAAGGTTGCTCCGCCACTCCCTTTGATGAGGATTGATATTAATTAGCGGGCCCATTTTTTATTTTTCTTTATTTTTTTATTTTTTATTTTTTTTTTGGATTTGACATGCACGCTACATGGTCTTGGAAGAGTCCTCATTCTTTTTGATGTAAGGACTTAATATTCGATGGGTTAAAGTAAATAAAAAAATGTATCCTGAAAATGACAATGAGTGTTGAATATTCCGAAATGATATTGGAAATTATATGATGATGATCTCAATATTACAAGGTTGATACTATTTTTGAAACGCCTAATTCCTATAGTATTATTATTATTATTTATATGAAGACCAACATAATAAAGATCTCTTCTCAAGATTTTGCGATTATCACTTGGGTAAGCATTGAGAATTTAATCACCTAAGTAAAAGATTGATCTTTCATATGCGGTGGATGGGTCCGAGCCACTACAGAGGTAAAGTACAATCCCCAAATTAATCCTCACTGGCCACGTGAAGGGAGCAAAAATATTTGCTTGCGTGCGTATAATTTGATACAACTTGGTCTCCTTGTTATGGACGCTGACGCATGTCGAATCTTATTTGGATCTTCTTCGCTGTCACAAGCGGGCAGCTCGTACTACTTATATCACACGTGTTAGTTTATGTGTGGTAATTTATGGTGTCAATGATTATGATTTTATTTTAAACCTTACATTCACGGTACTCCTCATCGAGTACATTTGTTTTTAATTTATACTTAAAACGGCTGAGTCGACATCTATTTTACAGATATCGGTTGCGAAGGGTTACGGAGTATGCATAGTGATGATGAGGCCCGATGAGTCATAAAGACTTTCAGGGCTGGATAAATGATGACTCTGACCATGTATTTAATGTGCTGACAATCGACTGTCGGGAGGGGGGCTCAAGGATACATCGCCTATTGACTCGTCTCTCCGAGAGGATCAAGAAGTGATGCCTTTCATCTCGATCTTGTGAGTGGGCTGATAAGTACCATATTTTCAGTCGGCCATGAAAGTTATCGACCCGGCCTTGTGGAATGAAGAGGAGTGGAGAGTCGATTTGAATGGTGAGTCGAGTGAGGACGTCTTTCGATTCGGCCCTTGTTAGGAAGGGTCGAATGCTGAAACTGCTCGAATCGTCCTTCCTAAAGTATGGATGATTAGGTATTTGTGAACACGTGATGTTATGGCCCACCACATGTGGGAATTTTGTTTTCAGCAATGAAGTTACACCTGAGGGGCCCACCTTCATGTAGTTCCGTGTGAGAATT